AAGTCAAGTTTATCCATTAAAAGAATTAAAATTAATTTTTGCACGCTACTACTACTACTACTACTGCTATTACTGCTAAGAGAACCAAACAAATAAAATTGTATTAAAGACGAAACGGATTCTGTAATTATACACATCTTTTCGGGTCGAATGAGATTTAACGGAAGCAAACACAGCTTTCATTTCCATACCACAATAACATTTATATGAAGAATTAATTAATAGCCCAAAAGAAGGATCCCCTTATTTTGTTCGGCGCTTAGGCCAAAAAATCACAAAAATGGCGAACTAAATCCACTTCACTGATATATCTCCATGGAAGATGTCTGCTGGTGTTTTGCTCTGAGAAGTAGTACTGTCTTGTTAACTTGCTTTCCTGTAAACCTGTTTGTCAGGAGATCAAAGCGTACATTTTTGGTATATAAATTACGCTGTTTTAAGCTTTAAAAACGAGTATCTTAACTTCAGTCATATTTTTCAGACTTGAAATACAGATCGGCAGACCGTGCATCTTCGCGCATACCCGGTATTGTGACTACTAAAACGGATGCTTCAGTCTGTAAATAAGAGGAGAAGCACTTATACAGTTTGAAGGATTGGTAGGTTATAGACGAAAAATGGGCTTTACTTCGTTGGATAAATCCTCGTACTCATATCTCCGTCCACATTCAACAAGTGTCCTGGTCTTTGAGCCATAGCGTTTCAGCTAAAAAGCAATCTGAATTAACTTTCCCTTCTGAGCCACTCCGCCAGAATGGCCCCATCAAATTGCCAAAGTTAAATGCCAACTTCGGCAAAGACCCTTTTATCAGTAAAGAGACAATGGCTTTGGAGTCGCATAATTAGCCAGGCACTTCAAAGACCCAGATGGCTAAAGATTTCTCTCAATGGGTGCGAGCTCTCCTTTCACAAGCTTTGGAATGCCCATATTAAGGCGTTGTTAAGGCTTTCTCATTAGTAGTGTAGGAACCATCGTCACTAATAATAATGCCACTTAGGACGAATGTGCATTGTCATACTAAATTAATACGAATTATGTTTATTTTTGTCATAAGCGCAATTGATTTCAACAATAAAAACGAAATAATAGATTGGCTTAATACAAATATACTATTAATATTATTATAATTTCCATACTTTTTAGATGATGCGAAATAGGGTTTTTTTCTGGATGTAACTCTCCATTTTTGAATAATCCACTTTTCAAAAGGACTTTTGTGGCGCATTTTTTAAATATATTTTAATGACTCATACAATTATTAAAGCTAAAATGTGACCGAAGAGCCTTGGAGCAATATGGGCATTCTAGTAAGCATTCTTTCCGGCAAATATAGGATTATTCTTGCGTCCAGCTGCCATGTCAGTACTCTCGAAAAAGATAGCGAGTCTAAGTGATAGTCAATTTATAGGGCAGGGTTAAGCAAAAGTTGGTAGCGATTAAGGCCAATGTCTAAATTGTAGTTCGTATGATGCCGGTCCCAATGAAAAAAGTACATAAAAATAAACATTATCGCTCTTAAGCGGTTTATCTTATGTTGAACGTTATTGAGCACAGGATTCTGCAAGCTGATGTGATTTGTAAAAACACAAGACAATGCCATATGGTAGACTGACCTAAATTAAACGTGATCTTGAAGCTGAATCTGCTAAAATAACCACAATTTACATAAGGATAAACATTACTTTCAGATAGAAGCGACTATTCTAACAATATAATTTGATGCGAGATTAATTCTCATCCATTTTTGCAGAAAAAGAAAATCTAGTCTCCATCTTTAATTTAAAGTGAATGTTAAGAAGTTTTATTTCACTGCTTTTGCATAAAAATATTTCAGACGGTTAGCCCTCAACAAGTTGAATGGTCTAGCACGTAAATCTCTGGTGAAAAGTTGTTATGACAATTAGTTTCTGGCTTTACTAGCTAAATGCGGCAGCCCGTTGTCAAGATTTGCCAGCCTTCTCGAATAGCAGCGGCCGGAGTTCTCAAAAGAGGCCTATGAAATTGGGCAAGCCGACAATGTCTTTTGCACTTGGATATGACAAGAATCTGTATATCTGAAGAATCCTTTGAGCATTTTGTGTTTTTCGCAAAGTAGACTACATTAGTGAATTGGTTTTTTTGGAAATCGAATAAGGTTTGCCCTGGAGATGTACTTAATTTGTGTGAACATGTCTCCTGCGCAACGTTATATGATTCCGATAGGTCCATGTCGAGCCAACCCTAATCCGCCGACACAGACATCTTTAAATCATTAAAGCATTATCTAGGCAAACTTAACAAATACCATAAACCAAGAAGGGTGCCTTTAGATTACTTTACTTTGCCTTTTTGACAAGTTTTTGCTTGGGGCTGAGAATGGCAAGACTCGCTGGCGATGCAGGCGAAACGTCTGGGAATTTACCAAATACACACAGCAGACGAGTTCGGACAAGATGCGCCCAAGTAGGTAGCCTTGACAACACGATCAAGTTTGGAAGACGATAACAGCTCACTTCTACATATATTGTTGTTCATTTCTGTATTGATGGACCTAGTACATTTTTCATTAGATGAACCATCCTACTAATATGCTATTAGTACTCTGTTAATCATTCGTATCATAGATCTGGCTATTTGCATCAGTCTTCTTCCTAAAACTACATAGGCTACAAAAAGCAAATAGATTCCCGAAGTATGTGACTTGCAAAGTACCAAAAATTCATGTACTTTTCAATTGACTATATTCCACTATGCTCAAATGTCACTATTACAAAACCACTCAACCATCTGGAGGTAAGATGTGGTCTAACCCCGTTCTCACAACTTGGTCGTGTTGTCATGATAACCTAGTAAAATGGGCCCTGTCCAAAAATTCTCAGCGTTGTACAGTGGATTTGGTACGAAATTTCTCCGGCATCGTCATTGCGTCTTGCAACCCTCAGTACCGAGCAACAACTCACAGAAAGAGACACGTTGTAGCTTGGTCCTGAGAATGGCAAGATTCATTGATGATGTCGAATTGGATAAGGGCAAAATATCTGGGAAGTTACCAAGTCCCCTTTCAAGCACTGATAATTGCAGAGGAGTTGGGACAGGGTGCATTTAACTAGATTACCATGGCAACACGACCAAGTTGCGAACATGAGGTCAAAACACTTCCTTGCAGAGAAAGGATACTGCAGTTATAACAGAGGCCACAACATCTTAGTTATCTGGAGGCAAGTTTATTTAAATTTTGGTGTATTAAAAGGCATAGGAAATAACGAGGAATTTCCCTCTCATCAGCTCCCACCCTCAGTGCCAATTCTATGTTAAGCGGACGTTTAACAAAATGTCGAAATGAGCAGCAAGGAAGTGGACATAGCACAAGTTGTGATACAGAAGTTGGCTTCCGTCTAAGGTTTTAAGGCTAATGATTTTGTTTTTTCGCAAGCTGGCCCTGTTTGCGGATCTGTATGGTTTGAGACCAAGATTTTGGTTTAGTACGGCCAAGTGGTGGTCTTACTTCCATTTCGAGTGAAAGTGTTTGGTGAACGAATTCGACGGTCGATCCCACCAGAAGACGACGGCGG